TGAGTGATTTATCATCTGTAGCAAAGGATGCATCGGCACCTGAAACAATAATATGTGAAAAGATCAGACTTTCTGCTTGACTTAAGATCAGAACGGTGTAGGGTATATTTTGTACAGTTTTGGTTTAATTACTGCTCTGAATATGTTTATACAGCAACTGGGCTTTTTTTCAGTCTGTATACTCCAGTTAACAATTATTTGTTTACTAAATGAATCAAATATTATCTCAATAATTGATTAATTGCAATTAATCCGACTAGTTGTTTGAAATCTAATCCCTATATTTGATAAAAATGTAGAGGGAAAATGGGGAAATTAAATCCAAGCGGTTACTTATCCAGCACAGATATAAGTTAAGTTTCTCATGTTTTACCATAAAGTTGCATGATATTATAAGTCGCTAGTCTTTTTGTTTTCCATCATCAACGAGGCCCACATTCTTCCTAAACTTTAAGGATCTTGTTCACCAAAATCTCTCGGATGTGGAAATAAAGGAGGGTGGAAGACTCCGTGTAAGGTTCAGATGAAGAGCTAAAAACAGCTGCAACAAGTCACTTCAAGACAACGTAGTAAAAACTGTCTCTGGCCACTTCAGGATGAGCTTTTTGGTCTTAATGTGTGATTCATGTACAAAAAAACCCCCGTCACAATACATTACTGCAAGGTATCACTGAGCTGACGCCATGTTTTACTTTTACACGTCAAAACAAAAACTAGTTAGCGTACATAAACTGTGGGGTGTGGAGGCAGATAATGACAGTTATCTCATTTATAGGGGGACAACATTTTTTTTTACATTAATGGTATCGCACTGAATTATTAATAAAACAGGCTGGGTCGCGCTGTCTGTTCACTGCCTAACTATATACATTCAGCGTCAGCTTGAAGTTAAACAGCTAGCTGCAGTTATTAGCAAGACGTTAAACTTAACGTACCTTTTTCAAGTTTTACCCAGGACTTAGGACGATAACTGCATTCGGTAGCTCACGTTGACAGTGGATTACTGCCACATAAGACACGATAATGCCACGGTCTACCGTTTAAAACCCCGTTGATATTACAGATAATTTCCCTTCACCAAAATATAAGAAGAGTTCCTGCCCGCCACTTTCAAACGCGCAGCTCCGCCTCCTTATTTTTCTTCTGCACAAACCAGGAAGCACACGCACCAGTCGAAAACAGCGCTACTGACCTCTACAGGGCAAAGACGAAAAATGCAGTACAACGCTTCGATTATACAATTTTACTTTTATTTTTTTGTCTTTTTTTTTACTAGTTATGGTGTACCATCACAACATTGCACGCTGTTTGAATAGACTATAACAGTGTTAACAAAATCTAACATTTTATTCAGTCGTCAAAGTAGAAATTAATACATAAGCATATATAACAAAATCATCTGGCCCTGCTTCATCTGTTCAAATATCTGGTTTCAATTATGTAATTAATTTTCTCTCAGAAGTTGAAAAAGTTCAAAGTTTGTAGTTTTATACAAACCTACATGATGTGATTATGGTAAATAAGATGTAAATATAAAAGAATATTTAAAAAATAACCTTTTAGATTAATTCAAATTTTAATCAATTAAGTTAATTAAGAATGCAATCTGGAAATGCAACATTTTTACATTGCTTTTTAAAATTTCCATACTTATTCAAACTTTGAAAATTATAAAATATAATTTTCTTCCTTTCCAGACTTTTTAAGACTCGGTCGAAGCTCTGATTTTTCTCTTCACTGCCGGACATGAAAAATACTGCAAATCAGTCCGAACTCCCAGTTACTTTATTGCAAACTGACAAGAAAATGGCAACAGTTTAAGCCTGAATGCGGCGGCCATCAAAGATAAGCTCTCACGAGGCACCATGTGACTCTGTGACTGTCAGACAGACCCTGTCCATTTAAAAGATGAAATGCCCAGGATATTAAAAAGAAACAGAAAAAGAGGGACAAAAAGAAATCCTAGTGAGCGTTATGACTTCCCTGTTGATGGGAGGAGTTCTTCGTCTGCAGTGGAAAATCAGCAGTTACTCCCGTCCTGGGTGGAAAAGAAAGGTCACTACAGTTGGAGCCAAAGGGTAAAACAGCTGAGCTGATGACAAGGTGTATGCAGAAAGAGAGAGAGAGAGACAGCTGGGCTGACTGGACATCAGCAGAAGTCATTGCATGAAATCACGTTGCATTTTTCTACATCTATTTTGAATTAACGATTTTTGTAAAACGATGCATTTTCACAATTGCACAAAAGAAAAATATTTTTGTGCAGACAAATCTCATTCTGTCAGTGCACAATTTGCAGGACAAATGAGCATGTTGTGAAACGCACCAACATTTGTGGAGTGTCCATCTTCAGTAGCTAGTGGGCAAAATGCGGAGTCCATCACATGGCAACACAGAGACACACATGCATATTTTGGGATTGTTGGAGAAAATCCACACATGCAAATTTTTAAATTTAGTCGATGTGCTTTCTAGAATTTTTGTCATGACTCTTAGTAAATATCTCCCACAGATTCATGAAGCTGCTGTGTTGTCCTTACTGTACAGTGTCTTATTCTTATTTTTCCTGTTTTTTTTTTTTTAATCTTAGTTTGAATATGCATGCTTCCATTTACCTTTAGCTTCCTGCTGTCACACTTCAATTTTCCAACTAAAGAATGTTTTCTTTTCTACTCAATTACCACTTCATTATTTTATTAGCCCACTTAGGTCTAAATACCTGACGAGCATTTGAAAGCTACTGTCCCCAAATTTGGGGCTTCTAGAAATGAGGTGGGTATGCAACAGCCATGTTTTAGTGTTTAATATAATTATTAGAGTTTTTACATTATATGCAAAAAAGAAAAAAAAATTACAATTCCAATAAGGAAAAAGACAAGGAGAAAGAAAAAATACCCAACAAACAGCCAAAATTCCCATAAATACTGTCACCTGCAATGTACATTGCAAAAAAATTGCAGCAGTCATGCTTTACTTAACTCTCAGTTAATTTGAATTATATTCATGACAAATTATTAAGTTATTTAAAAGAACTATTCAGAGATATTGTCACAAAAGATTGTTTTAACTACAATAATTGCAAAAATCTAAATCACAAGTTATTAAAAAAAACGTGTATTAATAATAAAAAACAGGAATAAAAGAAGATGCATGAGAAGATAAATATAAATAAGTACTAATATAAGTACAAACCAGAGGCAAAAATTTTATTAACTGACTGACTCTTTAGCAATTGTAGAGACACAAGTATTGAACCTTGGGGAAGTCCTCAAGTAGTTTTTGCTTAGAAAATTTCCTTTAAGAGCAAAAACAGTCAAATGCAGAATCAGAAATTACTGCAGTCAAGTAGCAAAAGCACAAAATAATTCACAGCAGCTGCAGCCATCCAACAACGTTCGTATTCCTTCGATAGTTTCTGTGAAATGCTAGATTGAAAATAATGAGAAAGCTGCAGTCTGGCCTTCTCTTACTATCTAAAAATTTTTGCTAATGAATCATGCACGCTTTATCAGCAAGACCTAACAATAACACACCAGACTGTCCCATGCTGGGAATATCAGATGGTGAGAAACCTTTGATCACTCCATGTGTGTTTTTTTTATATTTATTTTTTTTTACTACATTATTATTACATCAATCGCATCAATAAAACTACAATGGCAGTGACGATTACTTTCATCTCAACCACATCTTTGGCTTGTTACTTGCGGCTGAACTTCGACAGATGTGAGGGGAGGAAATTCGGCCTGCTTCACCCTCTTCCTGTTGTAGCTTCAAGAGCTAATCGGGATGCGGCGGATTGCATTACCATGACATCATGCATGTCTGCAGTCCACTGGTTGCATGAAGAGGATTTTATAGAGAATACACTCTGCTCTGCAGCACTAAGTCGTGTGTACACACCAACTTTATGCTATGCTGAGTTAATGCAGTTTATTATAAGCAACGGTGAGTAAAACCCAAATTCAAAATGAATGTTTAAGAAGCGAAAACAAGAGATTTTGTCCTTTCTTTTATCTGTTAACTTTAGAAAGAATTATGCAATTTCTTGCGTAATTCTTTCTGACTTGCAGCTTTCATATAAATGCTGCTCCACATATGTCACTATTAATGTCATGAGCGTTAAAGAAACAAACAATACTTGGTTATTTGGAACTTAAGAAAGGCTATGATAAAACTAAATGTGCAATAAAACTTAGCTGGATGGATGCAGACTGTTTATTCAAGAGGATTATAGGGTACCATATGCAAACTTCAAACTTCATCGGTGCTAATTTTATTTATTTATTATTATTATTATTGTTATTATTATTATTATTATTATTAAGAAGAAGAAGAATTTCCCATACTGTTCCTGTAAACACTGTCTTAAAGCTAAACTCAAGTGGAGCTATGTCACAACCAGAAACCTTAATATATATTCAGACTTTAAGTTAACCAGTAGTGCTTAATGACGCAGTTTTTTTTCCCCAAACAAAAAGTCTAAAAAGGATGGGATGCGTTTGTAAATAAGTAATTTGCAGAAGTATCTCTCCGCGGAGTTAAAGCTGCAAATTCTTTGTTATCTACCACTTTTGCGTCACTATAAAGTCTTGTCAGATTTCCAACAAGAGTTCGATTCGGACATTGGGTCATGTTGTCATAGCCTTTGGGGTATGACTGCTTTTTGAAGGTTCCTAAATGAATACGACGAATAAGAAGAAAATATATATAAATCTTCATTTCTATATCTCCTGCTATCCCGAGTGTTAAAGGCTTGAACACAAAATGCTCACGACAAGATTTTTGACAAGACAATCCCAGATTTGACGGGAAGAGCAAATTCACTGTAGTCCTCCTGTGCCTTTTACAACTTCGGGGCAACTGCTTTTATTCGTGCACGCGCACGCACACGTCATGATCGCGCATGCTTCCACAGCAACGAATATTTCTTCTGAATTGCAAATTCAATATCCCCCCCCCCTCTAAAAAGCTACGCAGTATGAGCAGCGACTGGGCGCAGATCGTTTTCTGAATCCGGTTCCGGCGTGCCGACGACACCGATGCCCGTGCCCACTGACTGATCGCAAGGCTTTTTACCCGATCAGCACAGAACTGTAGCAGCTGACAGGCGGATGCGGAGGGAGGGTTGCCAGACCCGGCGGAATTCTCACGGTCCGCGGACTAGAAGGCTCTTCTGTCCGGATGACAGCCTCCCAACAAACATATGCTGAAAACTTTCAGCTGTCCGTTTGACGCGGGGTGTTATTTAGATTTACAACCCGGTCCGAGAAGCAGTCATGATGCAGGTGCAAACTGTGGGCTAACGGTACTGAAATGACTTGTTCGGCGCTGACGCGATTCGTTGTGCCATGCCAACCCCGCATTGTCAGTTGCCATTTTACTCTGCGTTTCCCCGGCGTTTGGGTTTCCATTATTCTGGGCCTGTTGTATAATTAGAAGTTCATGAGGCAGTAGCAAACAAGCTGGTGCAATGAGAAGCTACGCTGTCCGAGGAAAAGTGCGCAGTTTGTGCTGAAGCTTATGGGTCCTGCGTACTCGAGCCCCCGGCTTCCAGTTGGAGAGGTGTGCTGCAGGACTACAGCGCACTGGCTGTCGGCTACACATCTGGACCGCCTGACTGCTGTCATCTGCGGCCTGATCGGACGGTGTACTCCTTGAACTTGTGTGTTTTAAGGGGGAACTGAGTGAGGTCGCTTTGGGCGGTGTCGTATTAGCAAGGAGGGGTGTATATTTGGCTCGGACTTGGGGTGGTGATCCACTGGAACACCACAGTCCAAACCCTGACTGGCTGACTACTCAAGGAATAAACGGCTGTCCAGCTATGAATTTTGCGTAGCCGAGTCACGCATTTTTAAAGGCAACGCTAGAGTGACATTGCAGTCTTCTCGCCACATTGGTTATTTCTTTGCCAGACTAAAAAAAATAAAAGAGTGAAAGTGGAGTATTGTCCGTCGTACGTCTCAACGCAGTGGGATTTCTACGTCTGGTCGGCGTTCCCCCCCACCCTTCCCGCGGTGACGGTTATGGGTCGGAAGCGGTGTGTCGGTGCAGATTGTTCCAAGATGGCGGCCGGGTGCTGCGGGGTGAAGAAGCAGAAACTGTCGGGATCTCCCGGGTCGGGGGGTCCCGGCGGGGTGGGGGCGGGAAGCGGGGTGGCAGGAACCGGACATTGTGGCTCGGAGTTGGGGATTGGCTCCTCCGCGACGGTTGCAGCAACGGCGAACGTGAGCAGAGCCAACGGCCTGGGGGGACCCGGAGGTAGCGTTAGCGGTAGCAGCGGCGGCACAAACGCTCTGTCCCCTGCCCCGGCCGGCTACTCAACATCCGGCCTCTCCCCGAACCTCAGCCCAGGACCAGGTTCGGGAAGTGGCGGCAGAAAAATGGTCGTCTCAGCAGAGATGTGCTGCTTCTGCTTTGACGTGCTTTATTGCCATCTGTACGGATACCAACCTCCGAGAACACCCAGGTTTACAAACGATCCCTAGTGAGTATTTATGTCTTTTGTTGTTTTTTTTTGTTGTTGTTCCATTTCAGCTCTTACAGTTGAATTCTCACAATAGGGACTTGTCTATGAAAACCTTCTACGTCCACGTTTGGAATTTTTTTGTCTATTATATAGAATTCGAATTGTCACGTGAAAGCAGAGCTTAAATTCGGTTGAGTTTAATTCATAAAGCTCCTCCCGATTGTATCTCAACTGAGCAAGTTTTAAGTAGGGCCTTGCGATAGAGGCTGCTCGGGCCTTCTAGCTACTCAAACCGCACGCCAAACATGCTCCTCTTTGCTGAATTTTTGAATAAAATATATTGAATGTTAATGACTGTTTGAGGCACCATGTCAATTTTACACTTTCCATGAGTATTTGTCAAGAATAAATATTTCACAGTACTTCTAATCTAACTCAAAAGGTTGTAGCTAGTCTTCTTCTCTACTAGCGCTAGCTTTTATCGGTTAGCCATTATTAGCATCTAGAAGATAAAAGGATGGAGCGTTTATTTTTTCTGTTCAGCAACTTTAGGTTGGATAATTTATTGCCGAACATTGAATAAAATGTATTTAAAAGAGCCCAATGTTTAACTTAAGTAGTTGTGGTCTATACATTTATCTCAAGTAAATTCTTGGTGGCATATACTGAGCTTAGCCTTGTTAGCCTTAAGCTACATTAGCTTACCAGCATAGTACCAATGAGCAGATAGCGTCTCATTAGCAATTTTATTTTTTGCGGTCTCCCTCAAATATTGACAAGTTAATGGTTGGCAGTTTATTGTATTTTATTTTACAGGTTTTGCTTTGTGTTAAGTCGTTTCCTATCGAAGTAGGGAAGAAATAAGCTTTTCGCAAACAACAAAGAAAATATGCTACTTGCTAAGTACTTAGCAGTTCTAAGCTATACTTAATATAACCGGCATTAAAGACGGACTAACGCCATTAGTAGATAATCAAAGGAAAACAACAAGCCTGTTCAATATCACGATCTGAGGGATCGACAAAAGATATTTTAGTATGATAAAAATAATTATAAGATTTGTAAATGTATAGCTGTTTTTTTTTTTTTTTTTCAGTAGGTTTCATGTTGAGGCCTCTGTAGAAACATTTTGTCCCCAATCTAACATGGTAATATGACACCATGTGACCTAAACGGGTGTCTTACATTTTTTGAAGTATTTCGAAACCAGAGCTCATTTTTTTCCAGAATATGTAGGAAAAAGTTCATTCATTTGGCAACTTCTTCAAAAGAACATACTCAATGTGTCGTAATGTTTGTTGATACAGACATGGAACAGTGGCAGTTTTTTTGAGTAATGGCGGATGGAGAGTCAAAACAAACTTGAAATTAAAAAATTAGCTTTAGTGTAAGACTGGTACAGAATAAACTATGTATTTTGAGCAATACTCTTTTGTACCTCTTGGCACTTTTGTCATATTTTAAGTTCAACAAGAACCATTTCAAAGTGAACACGTTTTTTAAAAATATTATTTTATGCTCTTCTATTCTTTTAGCAAGCTAGAATACAATAAAAATGTCCTTTATTGTCCCTCAGTGGGGATATTCCGGAACCATAATTTGCCAATGTTTGCCTAATAAAGTGTCACTATAAAAGAGCGTGTATTTTATTCACTATATGATAAATGTGAGATTACTGGAATGCTGTAATTCGTGACAACTTTGAGTCTTTGACAGAAAGAAAAAAAAAAGAATCCTTTTAGTAAGGTGTTTTCATAAAGCTCCTGACATTCTTTATTCAGTCTTACAAAAACCGACATGATTCCATTAAAATCGTCATCAAATAAAGCAAGGTATGGAGTAAAAGATTGGCATGTAAAAAGTTTTACATTCTTCAGCTTTCCCAGTTTTTGAACAGTAGCATGCATGGCATTGGAAGAATTCACCCTGTCAGTGTAACGGTGTGCGACTGCAAGGGAAAAGAAATGTGAGTGGACACATTCTTCTGTGAAGGACTGTTTTACCTGAAGTGCTTTGCATACCTCATTTATTAATGTAACAATGTGAGATGTACTACACTTGGGTGAAAACTGACACGGTCTTCAGATTCCGCACTTTGGAAAGAGAATTTTCTTTTAATTTAAAAATGTTGAGATATTTGACGACTACACAAATCTTTTGCATCTTGTTATCCAATATTAGTCACCAGAATGCAAAAAAAGTTAATTTAGATTAAAACAATTTGAGCACCTTTCTAAATGTGTAGCAACACAACATCCATGCAGATCTCTACAAACCTTCAAAGTATTCTTTTTGTCTTTTAGTGCAACATTTAGTTTGGCTAAAATATGCTGCTTTAAATATTAAGTTGAAGAACAGAATCTTGGGTTTCAGCCTGGTCTTTAATTTCTCCATTTTCTTTTTCAAACAAATCTTTTTCTCTAAAGAGACTTTCTCCCATTTGGACTCGACGAGCTTTGAAAGCACATCTTGAAACCCAGCCTTCTCCGGAGAAGGAAAAACGTCCCGTCTCCTCGCTGAACTCGAAGCCCTCCCGGACGGGTAACATAATCCGCGCGAGAGGCAGAAAAAGTCGGATCCGAAGTGTTAACAGGAATTTTCCACAAGCTCATAAAGTCTTGGGAGTAATTTAGCATTAGGAGCGTTTTGTGGTTGGGGTGGAAGCGCGGAGGGGAACAGTGTTGGGTGACTGAGAGCCGGTCACGTTACCCAACCGTCACAGTATCGCCCCGGACCAAAAAGATCCGTCAACGGATGCATAACAAGCTAATTCCTGCTGGATGTGTGTGTGTGTAAGCTCCATCCGGTTGGAGGAACTCGTGAGTACGCTGTGCGGTGTCCTCGACATGTCCTTCACTCGGGGGGTGGTAGCTTGTCAAGCTGAATTATTGAAATGCTCTGACCAACTCCAACTTTGGTCATAGGCATAATGCTCTCTGGTGTTTTTGAGAAAAAAATAAAAAATAAAAAAGATAAGAGTCTCACATCGTTACAGTTCTGTCATGTTTTTAGTGATTAAAGCAGAGAAGAATTTCCTGTTTTGAAATTTTCACGTGGAAACGTCCCTAGAATAGTTTATTTTTCTTATTTAGCTTTTTTTTTACGCATAGCAATAACAAAAAAGGGAAATTGACAATGCAATCATTATTAAATTGATTTATCCACAGTTTGAGCTAAAAAAAACTAAGCAAAAGACAAACATTGTTGTTAAACAGTTGGTGACCTTCATCACATGTGTTGTAGGCATGTATATCTCCATAAAGCCACTGCAGTGATGTAAGACAGAGTGGCATGTCACATGCATCTTGTGGGAAGCAGAGCAGATTTTCCAAGATAACGTAGAAACAAATGTGTAATGAAATTCTAATATAAAAGTACCTGGTTAATGTTTCCTTGTCACTAAATGTTTCCAGTGTTTTTAATGTGAACTAGTTGTTGCTTAGGAATATTTTTAAAAAGAAAGTAGATCAGTTTTTTTTTTTAAGTAACTCTTGACAGTTTAATATTAAGAAGCACAATTGTAAATGACTTATCAGTACTACAAACTTGGGAGCAAATAGGTTTAATTGTGTGTGTGTGTATATATATATATATATATACATATATATATTTTTTTTAAATCTTCAAATGAATGACAGATTTATTATTCTAAAATAAAAATATATTCAAAATTGAACTCTTCCAAATGATGGGGAAAAAAGGTGTGTCATGTGTAGGCATGGACTGGAATGAGATTTTAACAAGTTTTAGAACATCAGCAGCTGCAACAATGTTTTCTTGAATATTTATCAGTTTTTGATAAACAGTGAAGCTGAAATGCAGCTTACATTTACTGGGTGATTTTTATGTAAATGTTTTTGGTGCGCTTTTCTAGTTTTAACACAATTTTATTTAATTATAATGTGATATTAAGTTTTTGCTCCACCTTGTTTTATTGACTGAAATATTCCCAAAACAAAACTCGTCTCTTTTGTAAAAGCGTAAAACGTTTGGTAGCTTTCTCTCAGCCGCCTGACTGGCAGTGCGCAGCCTTTTCATTCTTGAAATTGCTATCACACAGAAAGAGAAATCGCTCTAAAATGTATTCTGGTGACATAATAAAATTTAAATCTTTTTTTTATTTATTTTTGTTTTCGTTGTTCCATGCTCATGTTGTACTTTGCATAATTCCTCCTCTAACACCACTGACATGAAACTTTTTTCCTTTTTGCCAGTGTCTTGATGTTCTCTGCTCAGAAGCGGTATTTTGCTGCATTGGGCTCTTCATTGTCATTCATGGCTTTGTTTAGACATCAGACGGTGATTAATTAGCTATAAATGTAGAGCCACTGCAGGGGCTTCAGTTGGGTTCTCCTCAATCAGAAGTTATCTCATCATAAAAGCTGGAAAAATCTCAGTTACAGCATGAAAGAGAGAGGGGGGGGGGGGAAAATTGGAGTCAGACAAAGAGAGTTGGTTAAGCAGGCGGCCCAAAGCAATGAAGGAAAGACTTTGATGGAAAATGATCCATCATGATGAAAGACGTTAGAGCTAGTTCCATCTCATGTGAGTAAAGATTCTGTCGTATTTAATAAAGAAAGCAGCAGGTGCTGACGTACTACTGGAGTGTGTGTTAACATCGTTTAGACTCTGTAAATTAAATGGATCACTCTGATATTTTTTCTTTTTTTTTCTTTTTGTCTTTCAGCCCGCTGTTTGTCACATGGAAAATAGGCAGAGACAAACGGTTGAGGGGTTGTATAGGTACATTTTCTGCCATGAATCTGCACTCAGGACTCAGGGAGTACACCCTTACTAGGTAAGCAACCGCGATCGAAATGCATTATCTATAAGATTGATTATAAATTGGGCTGTTTTTAATGGTCACATTGATATCTGTGGTTGTAGAAACCCACCTGTAGTAGTAATTCAGTTTGTCAGGGATCTCCTCAGTATATTATAAGCCTGGCGGGCCACCAGGATTTATTTGTGCCCTCATCAGGCTAAGCATTGCTTATTTATTTAAGTCTTTTTAAAATGTTTGCATATTTTAAGACTTTATCATTGGTGTTCAGGTGTTAATCTTTCAATAACATGATTATCAAGTGATATTTTTAAATTTCCTGTCAACTTTTAAACATTTTTTAACTCAAAAAGACGATGGATGAATGACTGCCTTAGCGCCCAAACCCAGGGCTAGCAAGTTTTCTGGGGGAAACCTTGAGTTTGTGCTTCAGCCTGTGTTTCTTTACGCTAGTAAAATATGTCGGCAACAAATCGACTTTCTTAGTGTAAATTTTTGTGGCGCCCTCTACTGTACAATATTCAGTTTAAATGTATTCATTCAACTAGATCAGTGGTTTGCCAAACATTTGACATGATCTGTTGAATAAAAACAATTTATAATTTTTGGTAAAGGCCCACTTCAGAAATGTGAGTTTTAAAAGAAGATGGCTATGTTTCCTTGTATGGGATGTTTGCCGAAAAAAAAAAAGGATTTACAAAAAAAATATTTGTTACGGTGGAAATTTAATGCAAAAAGTACTTGAAACGGCAAAAAAAAAAAAGCTAAAACTGAAATTTGTTGTATCTACATTTAAAACATTGATGAGTTTATCACTTTTAGTCAAAGTTATCAAGAGGCATTGTGTAAAGTCCAAGAAGCCACTTGTGGTTCCGTAGCCGCATGTTGCAGACCCCTGAACTAGATAAAAGGCAACAAAAGAAAAGTTCCTGTTGTTGTAAAGACAATAGGAAATAAAACCGTCCTGCATGCTGACATCTCCCTAGTGTTGAGATTGTCTTTCTGCAGCACCAAACATGCAGTTGAGAATTTCAGTAGCATAGATCCAGAGCCAGATGGCGTGGGGCCCCTCTGAGCCCTGATCTCCGCTGGATTAAGTCTCTCTGTCATAAAAACATCGAATCACCTCACTGGTGCCTTTAATTTAATGCAGCCCGTACAGCATTAAATGATTTTCATTCTCAGTCTAATTTCACAGCGAGATCTTATGATTATTAATCTGCGT